ATTTGCAACTTTTAAATTTGTGTTTATTAATTTTTCTTGCGTGCCCGCTCGGGAGGACAGGACTTATTTCTTATTTTTCAGCGTGGAGAGGGCAGCAGCTCTGTGGGAGGGTTGCGCAGGGACCAGGCAGCGGTGGCCGCTGCAGTGTCCCCACCGCAGCATCCCCTGCTCGCAGCAGGTACCGGGGTCTCGGTGACACCTACTCCTTTAAAGCATTATTGATTTATTTGTCCAACAATCCCAGCTTGTAACAGGGGTTTGTAGCTCTGTAGACTTCTTTTTATTGCGGTTTAGAGAAAATTAATCTCTTGAGCACTTCGTGGGCTTTTATAGGCTTGCAGCGTGCCAGGCTTGTCACCCCTGCGGTGGCACAGCCCCTCACCTCCTAAACACGTGGGCACTTGCCTGCTTCAGCAGCTAATACTCCTACCAGCTAAAGCTTCCAGCCTTTTTCTGAAGCCTGCTGACTACTTAATGTGCCTTAATTAATCTTGTGTGGGAGCTAGAGCTTTCAGCACTGTGGGATCTTTGCGGCTGAGTTTTCCCCTTGGGTGCGGGGATGGATTAATCTGCTTATGCTTTTGGACTAGCAGCAGCGGAGGTTTGGGGTTTAGTGCTTAAATGGGGCTTGTTGCTGTTGGGGAGTCTCCTGGGAGATGTGCTGAGCCCTCGGTGGAGGATGCCAGCTCCATTCACATTAGTCCTGGAGCGTTTCCCTAATTGCAGTGGGATCTGGGGTGCAAAACTTTCCCCGTCCTTGCCGGCTGCCTCTGCCGTGTGCTCTCATGCTTTGCAGTGTTTTCCCTCTAGTGATTTAAAGAAAAGCCTTTTATTTCTTCCCCCAACCCCAAAGTGATGTGATGTGAACCCAGCAGTCCCCAGGCTCTGCTCCTGCCCCACCAGCCTTTCCCTGGCACCCCACAGGGACCGTGGGGCCGAGGGGGACAGCTTGGCCACCCCTTTAATAGACAACAAAATTGAGGCAAGGCCCAACAATAACCACAATACCACCCCCCACCGTGGCTGAACAGCGCCTCAGCTCCACAGATGATCTCTTTCTCTTTTCCTGATCGAACGTGTGATGGATGCTAAATTCTGCACTTTCATTTCTGCAGCAACCAGCCTATTTATAAGAAAGCCTTGCCTGCGCTTGGGGCAGCAAGTGCGTTTACTGTACGGATACCGTGCTTCAAAACCACCTTTCTAGAGCACAACCATATCCTGTTTTGGTGGTGCCACGCTCTGCGTGTGGGTCGCCGCCAGCATCCATCCCATTTCCCATCACTCCAGGGGCTGGTGCTCGTGCCCGAGCCCCCCCTTCGCGGGGTGGGTGGGGACCCCAGGGTGCCTTCCTGGCAGCCCAACGCCAGTTTTTGGAGTCATGATGTCCCCTGGCACGGGGCACACGGGGACAGTGCTGGGCAGACACCCCCCCTTTAGACTGGCTGAAGTTGAGGCCACCAAAAATTAGGAGAACATGGAGCTGGCTGCCAAATCACAAAGCAATTATTTTAGAATATAAAATTTTATCTAATACCCATGTTTTTCTCTTCTGTTACTTAGATTTTGCTATTATTTTAGGGTATAAAATAAAATTTTATTAAATACCTCTATTTTTCTCTTCCACCACTTATATTTTATTTTATATTTACGTTTTCATCTTGCGAAAAATTGAAATTTTCAGTTCGTCTAAGCTTGTGTTTTGCAACCTCGTAGGAGATTCTCAGATAAAACCAGCTGAGGTCCTCCTTCTGGTCTGCACTGACAGTCTTTAACAGGAGTAATTCCGGAGAGTAGGTTGCATGTCTATCTTCTCTCCATGTGGCTGGGGGGGGTTCACTCGGTGCTGACCCAGGAGGAGCCCGGGGAAGGGCACACACCAGGCAGGAGCATGTTTGAAAAGGGAGACCAGGCGCAGGGCTACAAAGTTTGGGATTTTTCCTCCCCAGTCTCGGTGCCTGCCCCATCTGCCTACAGCAGGGAAATTTTCTTCTAAAAAAAACCCCAAAATCCTCTGATTAGAGGGGCAAGACCGAGTGATCAGTGTGGCGATTCCTGCTGGAAAGGACTTGCTGACTGCAGGGAGGTTGAGACTCTGAGCGTTTCTCGGAGGAGAGCTAACCCTCCCAGCACTGAGCGCAGCCGTGGCATCGATGAAGAGTTCCCAAAACCTTTTCCCTTGTGCTGTGAAGGGGACCCTGCAGCACAGGAGGGACTGGCAGACAGCCCTGGGTCTCTAAAACGGTGCTGTCCCATTGAACACCAGTGACTTGGGCTTCACAGGGTGTTGCTGGCTGAGCCCCTGAGTCAAAAAAATTGGACTCGGGTCTGATGAAATCATGACTGTCTGGAAAACAGCTCCCTGCCTTGGCTTAAAGCAGTCAGATTTGCTTTCTGCGCGTTTAGGTTGCACTTGGAATTGAAGTTGTGTGTGTTCCTTTGCCAGGCACAGCGCTTTCCCCTCTTAGACGCGCGGTGGGCGGGTGGCGAAGCAGCTCGGTGCCAGCAGCGGTGGCTATTAGCTTTGTGCCAAAAATCATCCCTCTGAGCCTCGCTACTGGGTAGGTGGGACGAGCTCCGCCGTGGCTGAGTGGTTTTCCAGAGGCAAAAGTCACTTTGCTGGGGCTGGACTGGAAGCATGTGGTCACAGAGGGAGGAAAAAGGTATTTTTAGCAGACAGAAAAGCAACCTTCCCATCTTCTGGCGCCCTAGAAAGCGTTGTGTGCAGAACTTCTTGGATGTTCCTGAATGCTGCATAATTTTGGGTACGTGTAAGTGTAGCATGTGTGCAGGGGCGTATGCGTATATGGGTGGACACACGTATGTAAAAGTGAAGCAGTTCTAGTCAAAGTCAGTCATGAAGGATTAAGCCCTGCAAAATATTTAATCGCATGTGAAAAGCTCGGGGGGTGTGGATGTCGTGGGTGCTGGCGGAGGTTGGGCCAAGCTGCTCTCCCTGCTGCAGCCTCTCGCCCTTCCCAGGAGGGTGATTCAGGCTCCTCGCTGGGGAGGGAACCCTCCCAGCCAAAGCTGCCACCAGTGGCTCATCGGGCTGAGGCCACCTGGCACAGTCCCAGAGCATTTGCTGGGGACTCTTGAGCCGAGGGTGATCCGTGGGACTGAGAGCACCCTGGCTGAGGGATGTGCTCTGCATGGCCAGGGTCTGTAATTACCTGGAAATTCCCCTTAGCTGAAAATTATTGAGGCTAAAGCACAGCACTGGGGTTATTGCTGGCTGGCTTTGCCCTGTGAATAAAAGGTTTAGTGCCCACAGGTAATGGCTTTGAGAGAGAAATCCTCTTCATTCACCCTGCCCTCTCTTCCCCCACCCATCGGCTCCCTGTCCCTTGCTCTCCTTTCCCTTCAACCTTGAGCTTTCCTCCTGTAAGGAGTTAGCACACACCTTGGCCTCAGCAGAGCAAATCCTCAACACGGCAGTTTTTCACATAAATTTTCTTTGGGACACTGCGGAGCCAGGCATCCCCCAGCCCACTCTGCCCTGCTGCCCCCCCCAGGACCCTCCCCAGCTCTTGCATCTCTGCACAAGGGACCGGCAGCATCCCTGTCTGCCTGTCCCCCCATTCCATGTGGCATCCAGATGGCAGAGCTCCCTGAATCTCCACGGGTTGGGTCCTGGTACCCAGCCGGGGTGTTTGTGGGAGCAAAACTTGGTGGACTGTGATAAAACAGAAGGGCTGTCGGGCGTCTTGCGGCCTCTGAAGGGCAGAAAGCACCAGTCTGTGCTGGAAAAAAGATATTTCCTCAGGGTTTGATTTACAAAATCCTTGCTATTCAGTGCATCTAACCCAAAAAAGGATTTTTCTGCTGTCTTTCCAATGTAACCCGCAGTGCTGGCAAGCCTTAGGGGCGCCGGGGGCAGCCCGAGTAAGGGTTGCTGTTGTGTTTCCACATGATGGATTAGTGAGAGTTTTTTGGTTGGCTTTTTTTTTCCTGTTTTCTTTTTGGAAGGGGGAAGCTGCCTTGCAGACATTTCAGAAGAGATGTGCCTTCTGAAAACAAGCTGGCAAAGTCCCAGCAGTAACTGGATGTGTTGGGAAACCTGGAGCTGGTGCTGCCAGTAAAGGTTGGAGGTGCAGTACGGGCTCTGTGGTCAGTCAGCAGGGTTTATAAATATCCAGCTGTGGTTATTGAGGGTGACCTGGATGTCCACCCTGGCTACACAGGGTTGTTCCATTCCCAGAAGACGCTCACAGGCTAAAACCACACTCCCAGTTAAGGTGCTGGTGGTGTCACTTATCTCTGTGGTGGCTGCCCGGAGCCGGCTCTTGCCAGCCGCAGCCTGGGCAAGGTTTTGCTTGGGTGTCCTGTTTTGCCTGCACACGCTGATGGGTTTGTGCCACCTCAAGATTTTTATTTTTTTTTTCAACCCTGAAAACTCTTTTTTTTATTTTTAGTTTTTTTCCTTCTCCTCCCTCAAGCAAACAAGGAAAATGTGTCCTTTTGTGGTGGGTTTGGTTGTCTTTTTTTTTTTTGAGAGAGAGGAGGAGGACATTTGGGACACAACGAGCTGCAGGGCTGTGTGTTTTCTGCCTGTCTCTGGCATGCTGTAAGTACCAAAGAAAATTCTTCTAGGTTGTCTGGATCTCCACTCATCTTTCTAAGACCAGCCTTGGCAATGTGAGGGTAGTCGCCGCCCGCTCCGCGCTTCCCAGAAACGCTGCACGGGTTGGAAATGTGCATCCAGTCATCGGCAGAGCTGTTTTCTATCAAACCCCCTCTGCCTACGTTTACTTATATAATTCCCTGAGGGTTTTTTGGCATTGCAGTTGTCCGTGCCTTAGCCACAAGGAGGAAACCTCACGGCCCCCGTGCTGGCCGCTGAGCAAGGGGCCGCGGTGGCAACGGGGCCTCTCTGAGCCCCCGACTGGGGCTCCCCACCTCTGCAGATTGTACCGTTGCTCTGAGAGCAGACGTGGTGCATAATGAGACTATTTACAAGCACTTAAAATAATACCCGTGATGCGAAAGTACGTGTTGAGATCATTTTATTTCCTCCCACGTTTGAAGCTTTAAGGATGCACTTGGGTCTGTTTTGTAAACTTTCCTCGGTACCCAGCAAGCGCTGGGGGCCTTTTCTGTTTTTTTTTTTTTTTAAAAGCAAAACTGCGAGGCTTGGATAACATCTTAATCTGCAACCACAGGCTTTAGCAAAATGCCAAACAACACAAGACTCCTAATAACACAAGAGACGGCATTGCCAACTACTAGTCCTCCCTGCTGCAGCTCGCGCCAGGTCTCTGAGTAAATGTGCCCTGGGAGATGTCCTTGATCCCTCCCCTTTGCTCGTGGCATATCCAGTAACAGTCTGTCTTCCAAGTATTTATCCCCCCATAATCATCTGAGCATCCTGTAGCTCCCGGGAGCCAGGCAGACTCCCTTGCTCAGCTCTTGGTGTCTTTTTCTGTAGCGTGAGCTGAGCCCAGTCTGTTTGAAAACTCCCTGTAACACCGATGTGGATATAGGTTAATACTCTTTGCTTGATACATGTTGGTAGAGTTATAGCCTTGCAGTCTAGATTTTTTTTTTTTTTTGCAATGGGAAGAGATTTAGTTTACATGGAGACAATTAACTGTCCTGACCTAGAGCCTCACGTGAGCATGGTGGATGCTCTAGGTCGGCAAGGGCCGCAGGTAGCTGCGATCGGGGCTGAAACTCCTCCATGCTACCTCCCCGAGCTGTGCTGAGGCTGAGTTGCCTGCTTATAACACAGGATCTAGAAGGATTTTCAGAAATGACAAGTATGTAGAAGCACTGAAACAACACAAATGAGGGACCCAAACCCAGCTACAGTTCAGCATGGGAGAAGTACTGGCATCAGCAACAGCTGTTTTGGGTATTTTATCTATATGATGGTGGAGAACGCTGTAAGGCAAACAGTCCCCAGCAGCAACAATGCAACCAGCAAGTCTTTTTGCATTGAAATGTCCTTCTAGGTCAGATCCTCCTGGCATCTGTTGCACACAAGGGTAATTGAAGATGCATTTGGACACCTCACGCAATCTTCCCTCAAGCGATGAGAAGCACCTACATGGACAGAAATGGCTTCGGTTTCAAGAGATGGACTCCAGCAGAAGCTCATCGGGTGGCATGGGAGGGATTTCCATACTGTTTATTCGGCCAAAGAACTTGGGAAGAGACCAGAACTTAAAGCGTGGAAAATTTCTCTTCTTCATACGAATGTCGTGGTGGGTTTCGGTGATGGAGAGGCTGCTCCCACGGCGCGTGAACCGAGCTCGCAGGGCAGCACAGCTGTGGCGCAGAAGCTGGTCCTGGAACTCAGAGGTCATGAAGTAGTAGAGGACGGGATCCAGGCAGCAGTTGAGGCTCGCCAGGCAGAGGGAGATGGGGTGGAAGCGGAGCGTGCTCCTGTGAACGGCACAGTCCCGGATGATGTTCTCTATCACCATCATGAAGAAAGGGAAGTTGATGTGGTAGGGGGTGAAGCAGATGAAGAAGACGGCCGCGCACATCAAGACCATGCGCAACGCCTTCTGCTTCTCGCTAGTGTTCTGCAGCGGCGTCGGGCACTCCCGCAGGGACTGCCACATCTTCCAAGTGCAGCAGGCGATGATGCCAAAGGGGATGACGAACCCAAACAGCTCCGCCACGGTCACCAGCGCGATGGAGGCTCCCGGGCTCAGCTGCTTCACCCCCAGGTCTGAGAAGCACGTGTTGGTGCTGTTGGACAAGGCTGGGCTCCTCACCACGAGCAGGGGTAAACACGCCGCCCCAACGAAGAGCCAGACGGCAGCGCTGATGGCTGCGTCGTACCGGCGCTTCCAGTCCTTGGCCTTGAAGGGGTGGAGGAGGAAGAGGTACCGCTGGATGCTGATGCAGGTGAGGAAGCAGATGCTGGCGTACATGTTGAGATACTTCAGGTAGAAGCACACCTGGCAAAGAAAACTCCCAAACGGCCAGGTGTGGTTTATGTAGTAATACATCCGTAAGGGCAGCGAGAGGACGTGAGCCAGGTCGGCCACGGCCAGGTTGATCATGAAGATGACGGCTTTGCTCTTCTTGCTGATGAAGCGGCACAAGACCCACAGAGCAGCGCTGTTTGCCAGCAGGCCGGGGATGAAGATGAGGGTGTAGGTGGTTGCGTACAGGGTGGACTGGAAGGACATCTGGGGATCGGTGCAGTTCCCGGAGGACGTGTTGCTCTCCATCGCGGCTGAGTCTCTTGGCTCATGGGGCGATGAAAGCGGGTGAAGGGCTTCTGTAGGGAGTGAAAAGAGATGCTGTAAAGCCAAAAACTCTGCAGTATTTCCTCACATGGAGGAAATAGTACAGGAGAGTAAGTAGTGTGTAGGTGTGTGCATGGTGTGTGTGTGTGTGCGCAGGCCTAGGTGCACAATGGGGGCTGTGTGTGTGTTGGGAAGGGTGCAGAGCCAGACCCCACTCGCAGGCAGCGATCCCGGCCACCTTCCAGGCAGCTCCTTTCCAACGTGCTCTGCAGGATTTCATGCCCTGCCACCCCCTAAAGCGATGCTGTGATTCCACTGACGTTGCAATTGAGCTCCGTAGCATTTATCAATCTATTGCTAATGCCAGCTTCAGCTCCCTGGGGGTTTTCAGGACCACTTTCATTGCACAGAGTTTTCTGTCAAACTCCCATCAATTTGGTGCTCTGAGTATGTCTACAAGCAATTTCAGTGGGACTGTAAATAAATAGTGACTTCAAATGGATCGAGACAGTGTCTCTTCAGATCCAGGCGGAGTTCCGATGTGAATCGGCAGCAAGGGCAATAATTAGCATCAGCAAATGATGGTGCTGGCAGGCAGCTGACTGGAGCAGAGGCCGGTGGGAGAGGTGCAGACAGATCTATCAGAGCTCTGGCTCCAGATTTTAAGGCTGGATTTATAAACTAATAGCTGGCCAAACACACGCCAGTTGCTCTGCCGGTCCTGCTAACTCAATTCCAGCACTCATGGCACATTGTGCAGGCATCGTGTTGTAGCAACGGAAATTATCCTCCAGCAACAGTTCAGGACGTGAAGGAAGATAAATACATCTGCCTTTTAGTTAGAGTAGAAATTCTTTTCATCCATTTACCCATTTCACCTCATCCAGCCAGCGCTGAGGGTATTAGCGGGTCACGGGGAGTTCACCGGCACTTGTGCGGCTCTCCAGAGAGGTGATGGATTTTGCCATTCGTGAGCAGAGCCCGCAGGGAGAGGGTCTGCTCTTTTGGGAAGAGGCGATTCAGCAGCAGCGGGTTACAAACCAAGGGCCTGCAGCATCATCTGCAACGAGACGGTGCAGTTTTCCCTTTGGAAGCAGAGTCTGTAGCTGCCTGCAAGGTGTCGGGCAGCCTGCCCTTCCCTTCCAGGAGACCAGAGCCTCGTCTGGCAGAGCCCTGAGCACCTCTTGCCACTGCCACCCAGCTCCCCAACAGCAGTATTTAATTAAGCAGCAGCCCGCGGTGCTGTTTGCCACAGGGATGGATTTATTTTTTTCCTAAAAGCCAATCGCCCGCAGCAGGGACTGAGCTGCTGTGCAGAGCCTGGCGCAGGGTGAAGGCTTCTCTCCCCTCTTCCTCCGCAGCTAGGCAGCTCTGCAGAGGGGCTGCCAGGTTTTCAGTTTCAGGAGGAAGGTTTTATGTTTATAGACACTGACATCTATAGATACACATATACAAAATACAGCCAGCAGCCTCTCGGCGAGCTGCCCACCGCCTGCACCGCTGATGTGAGGAGGGTCGGTGTGTTGACCCCCGTTTCGATGCTCACGCTCTGCTTTCTGAGCTGAGCCCTTGCCAAAACTGCCTTCTCCCATTTGATTATTTCTCCAGGGCTGGGAAAAAAAAAAAAAAAAGCAAAGCTGAAGTGAACCCCTGGCTGCAGGCGGGCTATTGGGTGCACCCTTTGGCTGCTGACCGGCCTTGAGCCAGCGGCCCCGGGTGGGAGGATCCTGATTTCTCTGGACCAAGGCAGGGGAGCAGGGATGTCTGTCACGAGGGGACAGTGAGAAACAAACCCCTTCAGTCCCTGCAGCATCCCCGTGTGCTCCTCACCTGCCTGCAAGCCCACGAGGGACTTGAGCACAGCTCTGGCCCCGCGCTCAGCCCGTGCCCTTTGCACGGAGTCGGTTTAATGCTGGAAAAGTGGTGGCAGGACACCTTATCTTCACATCCCTGTGGAGGGGAGAATTACCAGGGAGTGTGGGGAGCGCGGGTACGCCCAGCTCTCGTCACAGCCTTCGGGCTGGCACTCGCTGCTCTGGGCTTGTGACAAGGATCATGGAGTGCCCGGTGTCCCTGTCCCATCTCCTCCCTGCCACGCGCCTCAGCCCAAATCCTAAACCTTGTCCCTGCTGGCGTGACTGGGGGAACCTCCTTGTGGGTTTTCTCTCTCTCTTTTTTTTTTTTTTTTTTTTTTTTTTTT